TTTAAATGCTTCCCAATGTCATTTACATAACATCTTTGCATTTGGACTATACAGTAGTATCCTGAAGCTTGACTTTATTCATTATTTTCTAAAAGGTTCGAACATAATGATGTGTATTGTGTGCTACAGATAAGAATCCATATTGCAGAACTTTAAAATAATTAGGCTAACAATATCCTCCTTTTAACAACAGGTTTAATGTTGAGGAAATTGACTTCATCCAAAATGTTATAAATTAATGTACCGGTAACTATCTAAATTATTTATTTTATTCTCCTATATTTCGTTATCTTTTTCACTTTATCTAATAACTGATCGTGATAAACTCCGTACTGTAGTGGGAATATCTGATAACAGGCATGGAGAGCCTATCTTAAATTTCCTGAGCCTCTGACATAACTTACAAAACATGTGGAGAATCACACTGGATATAATCTCAGTACAGCACCATATACAATTCTACCAGACAATACTCCTTTTCATAAACACCAACAGTTGAAATTATGAAGTGGACATATTTCCACCTACTCAAATTTAATCTCTCACTTGAATATCTGAACATCTATTAAAAGTATGGTTCTTTTATAACTTAATACCAAGTTTCCACCACTCATATGGGCCCATTGTCTTTACAGCTTCATGGATCTTATCATCATATCCACACAGGCACCACTAACATCAAACTAAAAGAAGGTCATTGCACACCATGTCAAGAGATGGGTTAAGTTGACACATAACCGAGTTCTTGAGGCTCAGGAGTGTCTGTGGTAAATGATATGATGACAAGAGATAAAACACTGAAAAGAACAATGAATGAAAATGGAAATATCACTGTAAAGTCACCTTTATACACAAATTGATTCAAGAAAAATTGGTTAATGTAGGTCTCATCAGCCTTAGGGCTAGGTTTAATTATTGCTTGGCACTTCTGATTGAATGCAATGATAAAAAAAAAATTATTTCTTGGCAAACTAAACTAAGGTAACCAACTTGGTTCTTTGGTTATGGTCAGATGATGCTTGTTTGAGATTATAAAGGTTAGAAGGTGTGGAGACATGATTTGTATATAGCATTGAGTTAAATACAGCAGAATTCCTTACTTGCTACTGACAAAGAAAAGATACCAGTGTAGTCCTTGCTCAGTGGCATAATTTGTAAACTTAACCCCTTCATTATGGGGATGCCATTTTTAATATCTTATTTGGCTAACATCAGACTACAGGTATTTTATTCAGCTCAGAAGGGACCCCATACACAACGGGTTAATAAGGGGTATATATTAATTAAATCTCTGTGCAAGGAGTTTTTGATGAATAGATTTTATTAAGTAGTAATTCCATGTCAGCTTGATTATGCAGAGTGATTCAAAAGCATGCAAACATCATATCTTAAACATAGGTTTCATTGAACATTTCTTCACACTAACTCATCAAATTTTAGCAAATTCATTTCTGATTGTAGAGACAATCAAGAGAATGTAATTTGAAACTAATGTGCTAAAATTGATTTGTCATTGTTAAGAAACATTTACAAACCCTATGTTCAAGAATTGATGTATGTAAGCTTGTGTGAAGCTCACAGTTTGAGTACCATATTAACTACAATAAAAATTAAAAGTAAATATTCCAATGATTTTTTAATCGCTACAGTTTACATAGGAAATATGGTACATACAGTATTAAGCATTAAGTACAGTATTAAGCAATTAACTTCACATTGTTTTTTTTGTTTCACATGGTCTTACCTTTTCTTTTGTACACGGCCTGAAGTCACTTATACAGAAGTGTTCAGCATGGTTGCCACACAAACCAGGAGCGTGCCAAGCATGACCCATGCACAAATCACATGAATCTTACCGCAACAAGCTCAGTGAGGAGTAGTGTTACTGCATACGCTAGTGTATAAGAAGTATCATAATTTTAGAAGGAAGTATTTAGAAAAAAATATTTTGGTGAATATATAGTACAGTACACACAGTACTGTACTTTAATATCTATTTTTATTATAATGGAAACAAACACCAATGAAGGAGAGAAGAAATAATATTCCTGTGAATACCAGTAGAGTATATATGGTCCAGTAATTACTGTACTGTACCAGTAAATATTCACACTTATCATTATACTGTACATCAAAACATCAATGCTCCACATAAGAATGCTTAATGGACTGGCAGTGCAAGGTACAGTGGGAGATTAACTTTGCTTACATTGGCTAACGTTCACAGGACAATTGTTATTACAGCAATTGGTGAGTATTTAGAGGAAATATTAATAATTAATACTGTATACAGTAGTACTGTACTTCAACTATCCTTAAATTGCTAAGGTCCTCATATTATGAAATGCTGTAAACTGTAGATATTGTATTGTATCATAAATGCATGTTTTTGTTTCCCACTCCTGTTTAAGCAACCTGTGGGAAGATATTCAGCTGTAAAATATTGCTTGCTGATACTTCTTCCTCACTAATACAGTAAATACATATTATGATTTTTGTTAGGAATGTGCTGATAAACATGAATTTCTTAGTAAATACAACTGTATATGGCTTGTGATAGGTACTACTGTATTTAGAGTACTGCTACAGTACCTGTACTTTCTTTTAAAGGCTCAGCTTTTTCCTGACAGCATGACCAGGGCAACCTTCAGTATATGGGCTCAAACAGTCAACCAACCTTCACAGTTCTTGTACTGTACCTTCAGTGCATAAGATGCAAGGTGATTTTGGGTGGCATTTTTTAGGAAAAAATACATTCTATACACCAGTAAATATGTAATTTAGATGTGCAATGGATGTGTTAAGGCATTTTGAAAGCTGAAACAAGCAATGGCTTGACTTTTAACATTATTTCTGACGTTTTCATTTTTTAAACTTCCCAAAAAATTCTTTAAGAACATATTTAAAGTACAGTAAAATCATCATCGTTTAACATGGTTTCTAATGTCTTCATATTTTTGGCTAGATTTTATTTAATAAAAAAAAGTAAATCTTGCCATTAACATCATCTTTTGGATTTTCATTTTTTCCCCACTCAAAATTATAACCCCAACTCTTAGCATTAGGCTTATGGTAATTTTGGCTTCACTATTAGATGTGTTTTCCAGGAACAGAACCTCATGAATAATAAGGTCCACAAAAGATTTGTAGAATAAAACCAAATAACTGACCACCTGTTTTATACACATTTCTGCTACCACTGCCACCTCTACCATCTTCTTTCATTAGCAAGATTTCACCACCACCACTGCTGCCTCCAACACATTCTTTCTCAAGCGTGACACTACCACCACTACCTCCAGCTCCTCTCCACACTGCATGGCCTTTCCCAGGTTGTTCAATCAAATCCTCAAACTTCTGATTCCAACATGAACATTATCATCATACAAAGTTCCTCATCATCATCATAAGATTATTAACAAAGTAAAGATCATTATAAAATTGCTAAATGTAATGTTACTTTGCATTTATATTAATTAATTGGATGACTGAGGGAGGTTATCTTATGAGCCTGGTACCTAACCCCCTATTTCACATACTGTACTGATAAGCTCTCTGTATTTTTTTTACAGTTTATTTTTGAATATTTTTAAGACAATCACAGTGTAAATTGAGGGATGACTGTATGCATCATCTTAATTACAAACAGTAGTAGGTAGATAGGCAGCTACCAAACAGGGAGGTACTACCGCCTGGGAAGATATTGGAAGCATAATGTATTGTCTAATGGTCCAGACGTGCCGAGCCATTTTTTTCTCACGCGGTCCATTCTTCACCATACGCGGGAAGCGGCGCAGTGAGGGGTGCGCATTAGGTCGCTCTTACGTTATCGCTGACGTCATATGACGTAACGGACTGTGATTGGGCCACGCATCCTTACCACCCATGCAAGCTGTGATTGGTCTAATGTAACATGACGTGCCCTGCCATCAGAAGTCGCTGACCTAGCCGGGCCAGTCTCATTGTTCTCAGTCCGTGTATACAGTTCTCTCTTGTGCCCGCTATTCCCCTCACAATGGCTTCCGCTGGACCCCCACCACCCCAGAAAAACCTTGAATTACCTGGACCAAGCCATGGTTATGTGAAGGAAATCATCGAGTTGGGGGAGAAAATTAAGCTCATCCTTGACAAAGACCCAGTCAAGCATCGGTATGAAGTGTCTAATAACCATCTGTCGAAAGTTATGGAGCCGTATGTCCAGATCTATCACGACAACATCAATGCTAGTCGTCAACGTAGTATTAAGGACTTCTTCGCCCGCAACCCACCACAACCACAGCCAGCCCAAGTCAGTGATAGTGATAGTGAGGATATGGACTTTGAGGGGTTTGTCAGGGAGGCCCTGCAAACCTCTGCGAGTAGTGAAAGTGATTCACTGGAGGGCAACTAATCTGCCCTCTGCCTCGGAACCAGCCGCCATCCACGTGTGCCGACCCATCTCTTCTACTAATGTAAGTGTTAAACACCTTTAGATTTGTTGTTTTTTATTTAGATATTATGTGTGTAGCAATATCATCATAAAATTATGATGTTATTTTTACAAGGTACGTATTGTGTCGGAAAAAGTGGAGTTTGGGAGTCGGCCCAGTCTCTATTTCAATTAATCCCATATGTTCTGTTATTTCGTTTACGCATTTCTCGTTTTACGCGGACCTCCATGGGTTCAATTGACCGCGTAAATGTAGACTATACTGTTTTTATTTTTTTTATTTTACTTATCTGAATTATTATTATTATTATAATTATTATTATTATTATAATTATTATTATTATTATTACATTTTCGCCCCCCCCCCGAGGCCCCGATGTGGGTCAGTGACCTGTGCCCGGGTGGGCTAATCCCTGTTAAAAAAAGAAAAAAAAAAGTTCCAAAAACTTTCAATACACAATAAGAAATTTAATCCTTTGTTGTCTTGTTTCAGAGAGTGGGGATACAGTGTTATGTCCATGTGATTCAGGTTAAGAATTCAATCTTTAAGATGTATAAGTACACAACTATA